AAGTAGCCGTGCGTAAATTCGTATCCTGCTATAACAATCGCCGGTACGGAATCATACAACCTCGTGTTCAGCCGTGCAACACAAAAGGCGACTAAACACAAGAAGAAAACTCGCAACCCTGACTTACCTTGCGTGCTACCGTTGGGCTGGCCGGCCTGCTGCGGTAGTACGGGGTAGAGAGGTGAGGGATGAGGCGATGGTTGATTGCTGCTAGGGGCTCCTGCAGTAGAATGGGGGTTGGCAGTCGTCGGGGTCGGTGTGGCCAAGGGTACCGCTTGCTGGGATTGCTGCACGTTACCGGCGGACGTGGGTGTTGCCGCGGGGGTGCCGTCACCACCCCCGGTACCACCAATCACAGTACCGCCAGGAGGTTGTTGCTGCGACGGTTGTTGTTGCTGCTGTTGCTGAGACGCTTGCTGCGGTGACGGTGGTTTTTGCGCGTCCATCGCCGACTCGCTTATCGTTTCTGCAATGAGAAGCGCGATCCGGTCTTGAATATTAATTCGCTTGAATCTCGCGGCGTCCTTAGAGTGCATGTCGTTTTTAGGGCTATTACTGGCACCAGGATTAATTCGGAAACATCCGCGGTAAGCTAATTTCCAAAGTAGTTATGAAAAATTTGCATGGCATTGCATGCGCGTGATTAAAAAAAAACGAGGAAGATGTTATGTCCGCATTAGATTAAAGATTAACCCTAGAACATTATCGATATGTAAATTTTACATACAAGTGAACGAGGTCATTTCAGTGACCATAAGGAAATCCAATCTGCAATGCTAAAAACTAGGATAAGCGGATATAAGCTTTTAAAAATTCTGTAAGTTTTGTATATCAGTACCCACTGCACGGAAAGAATTTTGCTGAAAATATCTAAAAATTTAACTATATACAAATCTCAAAATAACTTTGTTAAATCATCAAAATAATTACGTAGGAATCTGAAGTATGATGAGCAATGCTACGAAAAGTTTTGACATTCTAACAACCAGTGTGAGCGTCTTATTTAATTATTTTGATAATGCAATGGAATTATTTTCAGATCAGTATACATATAAACACAGTATAGATAAATTCTTAGATACACCAGCAAAATCGTCCTTTCCGTGTGGTGGTATTATAACAAAGAGTGTGAGTAATCCAAATTTTTAAGCAGATGTGTAATATTTTGTATTATATACACTGAGAGAAAGGATTTTGTTAATTTAGCAAGCCACCAGTACCTTTAACCAGCTCTATAAAGCTGGCAGGGACCAAATGAGCAGAATCAAATCGGACCTATTGGAATTTTTAGTACTTTTTTTGTACTAATTTATACCATAAAAAAAAATTTTGTACTCTGTGCCGTTTTTTGAAAAAAACGTGGCGCTGCCAGGTTAATATTAAGCCAATTAAAAAAAAAAGAAAAATAAATAAATAAATAAAGAAAGAAATAGTATCGAATTTGTACTAATTTGTACCACCAAAAGAAATTCTATATTATGCGTCATTTCCCAGAAAACAGTGGCGCTGCTAGTTTAATATTTAAGCTAGCAGGACCATAAAAAAGAAACAACACAAGGGCAAAAATGAACAAAACTGAATTTATACTAATTTGTACCACTGAAAATAAGTTAATATTTTACACAAAACCTATGTGAATCTGCGGCACTCGACTTCAAGAAAAAAATATTTTTAATGAGCATTAAATTAAGTCAAGCATTTTTGTAAGTCAAATGTCGGATTTCACATAGGTGATCTAATGATGGCTGGAAGATTAAAAATAATTATACAGTTTACATATCCGATACAAATTATATTATAAATGTTACAAAATAAAATAAAGAGTACATATGTAACGTCCGGTGCGCTACATTATAGCACCCCGGCCGTTTACCAAGCGAACGCGAGCACAGAGTATAGCGAACGA